CACTTTTGACAAACCAATGCCGATGTTGTTCGGATTTACTACTATTTATTAGGGAATTGCTGTTAAATTTTGCTGAAATGAAATAAAATAAACGACACAAGGAGCAAAAAGGAGTGCCCCGTTTTGGCGATAGTGTCCCCTTTTTGGAGATAGTGAGATGAGCTTCATTCTGTCAGCCTAACGGTTTGGCATGCAACAGGGACATAGGGTCGTAGATGAACAAACATTTCCTCACGATTGAGCGTCATTTCTGTCAAAGGCTAGCACTTTTTGCAAATCTCTCCAAGCACAAAGGCTAGAATTTTGCTTTTGAGAACCCCAAAAGTGATGTGATGGATCATGGGCTATCAACGGTTTAGCCTTTTTCCTATCCTAATTAAAACAAAAGGAAAGCAAGGGAGCAAAAAGGGGATAGTGACTTAGTGAGATGCGCGCGCGCATTTGGCATAGTGAGATGTGTACAAGCACTGCTACTCTGCTAGGGAACAAAAGGAAAACAAAACTCAAAATATAAACAGTCAAACCTTTTGAGATAGTGGGATGTGCGCGCAGCATTTGTCTTTGGAAAGCTGGGTGCATGAACGTACGTTGGATTGATCTTATTTTTTATGAAGACCAACCTCTTTTAAGCCCTTTTATGTTTTTGAGTAAAATATGATAGGACTAACCTATTGTCCCTTGGCAAGAGTGGCAGCAGGTATGGTCCTATTTGATGCTTATCTGTGCAAGTTATGCAGGACTAGTACAACTGATCTCTGCTTTTTGTTCCAACTGAGCAGTTGCTTGATAATTTCTTGTTGACCACCTTTAGGAATGCATTGGAAAAAAGATAGAGAGTGTCCATATTGGGATATTTTGCCACAAAAAGGCTCAGCAGTACCTAGTGCTTATCCTCTTTTTCTAAATTTGTGATCACCTCAAAAGATGTACATGCAAGATGGAAAAGAATTGTTCTTGGAAGGCATAAAACTACCCTCTTGAGCGTCCCACATCAGACATCACAATTCACAACTCACATACCTTTGCTAACAATTCTTTTTTGTGCAAAGGTTGCCTTGATCAGTTCTCATAAATATATTTCTGTGAAGCTAGAAGATGTCATTTGCAAAGCAGGATTAGCAGCTGGTTTCTTTTTTCCTTTTTCAGTTGTATAGTTTGGTGCATTATGTGCCTCAACTGCCACATCTTTTTGGTGGATCTACTTTTGTTGCTTGTGGTAGCCTTCTAGACCCCTTAATTATTTTTTTCTGGTAGCTGTCCATCTAATGATTCTGTACCAACTCCTATCAAACTGAAAAACTAAAATTCCAGTTTAAACCCTGTACATGCCATGTTGTGCTCTGCGTTTTCAATATGACTATGTGACATTTCTGCATGTATAGCCGTGTCAATATATATTACTTAGGAATAACATTTCAATGTTGCTTGGCTGAACCCATTATCTACTTCAAATGCATATTAATAACTAAAATATATTTGTTGTTATTTTTTTTAAATGGAAATGGGCGTTACCCAGTTTGAAAGAGGAAGAACTAAAATAATGGGTTTGTCTGTTTATATTCTGAACTTTGTCACCATCGATTTTTAGCCAATCATTGACAAATGGTGCTATTATTCCCTTTTCAGGATTTTACGGCTCCAAGATATGCCTTTTACAGTTCTGAAAACTGTGCCAAGTTTCTGCAACATATTTGTCGTGTCCCGGCGCAGATTAACAATAAAAATTGCAAATCAGGCTCGAAATAGCAGTATGTATTGCTCAGTTTCCTTTCCTTCAATACTTTTGTCTTTGTTTACTATTCGTTTTGAGTTTCTTTTTTCCCCAAATATATGTTTCTTTACAGAGTCGAATGCTTCTATTCGGATTCAGTCAATAAGTTATAAAGCATTTGATCAAATACAGAGGGACTGGTTGCAAGACAAACAGGCTTTGAATAATCTGGCTGATGATGAGATACCAAAATATTCTGGAAATTCTAGTTCAGGCTCATTCTCTCAAGTCTGCAGTTCTCTAAGCACTTCTTCCAATGCCATTAAAAGTTCAGAAAGTCATAGAAGAGGTTTTTTAGGAAGCTTAGGTCGAAGGACACCAGGGAGAGAAAGGAACAAAGATTTTGATGCTATTAGCCAATTGAAGGAAGTTCATTATGTTGCCTTAAGCTCAGTTGAAGAGGTCAGAACTTTTTTACATCCTTAAGAACATTCTGGCTAGTGCTCACTTTCAGATACATCAATTCATTTCTGGAAATACTCTAAAATTCAGTACCACTGACTTTGTTTTCTGGCTTCATTTCCAGTACCAACATATAGATGAAGAAGAAAAACTGAGGAAGGAGCTGAAGGATACTTTGATGGTGTATGACAGAGCTTGTGGAAATCTCGCCCATGCTAAGAAAAAGGTCAGTGATGCATGATAGTACACTACTTGGCCCTTAAAAGTAAAGTTTTATTTTAAAAATCTGTCTGTTGATTCACTATGAGGCATTCTTATTTACGCTTAACTATCCAAGGTTGATAATGATCTCATGATTTAGCTGGTACAGTCCAAACTTAAGTCTTTCATTTAGTATCCTTGGTTCCCCCCTCCGACAGAAGAATTTTACTTATATGCCTATTTAATTTTTACTGTTTCATATTCAGTTACTTTCTAGTGAGTGCTGTGATGATGTGAATAAGGTGCAAGACGCGCTGCAGAGAGAGGAAATGTTGAAACAGACGGTTGCAGATGAGAAAACCAAACATTTAGAAGCAATTGGAGCAGTTGAGATGGCAAAAAATGCATTTACACACGAGACCTATTCCAAGCACCAGGCTGAAATATTAGCTAACATGGTGTCTATTGAGAATGCTAAGGTTGTGGATGCCCTTTTATCAACGGGCAAAAGTTGCAGGCAGTACTCGAAACATGAAATAGAGCTTGCCACTGATTACTTTTCTGATGCAAAGAAGATTGGTGAGGGTGGCTATGGGAATGTATACAGGTGTACCCTTGACCACACTGAAGTAGCTGTAAAAGTTATTCAACAAGATTCCACCGATAAGATTGATGAGTTCTTGAGAGAGGTACGCTGATTTATATGTTTCTAATTTTCTCATTGGACATAGTCAATTACTTTTTTTTCTTCTAAATTTTGAAACCTCAAGTTGCATGTATGTGTATGTGTGTTTTTTTTGGCCTTTTTCGAACTTGCTACATTTTGTACCAGCTGTACTATGTCATAAACATAACATACCATGTGGTTAAATGATTCATTACATTGATCTATTGTGTGACAGGTGGAGATTCTCAGCCAACTTCACCATCCCAATTTGGTTTTACTGCTTGGTTTTTGTCCTGAAATTGGATGCCTTGTGTATGAATACATGGAGAATGGGAGTTTAGAAGATCTACTTATCAACAATAAAGGGCAGCCACTCCATTGGTTTCTTCGATTCCAAATTATCTTTGATGTTGCTTGTGGGCTTGCTTTCTTGCATGGGACGAAACCAGAGCCCATTGTCCATCGTGACCTAAAGCCTGGGAACATCTTGCTGGACAAGAATTATGTAAGCAAAATTGGTGATGTTGGTTTTGCAAAGCTCATATCAGATCTTGTGCCAGAAGGGTTCACAGAGTACAGAGACACTGTCATCGCTGGCACACTGTATTACATGGATCCCGAGTACCAATTAACTGGGACAATTCGACCAAAATCAGATCTTTATGCTTTGGGTATTATCATTCTTCAACTACTAACTGGCAAGCGTCCACATGGGCTGGTAAGTAGTGTAGAAGAGGCAATTAAAAGGGGGATATTATCAGATATCCTCGACAAGTCTCAGCCTGATTGGCCAATTGCTGAGGCCGAGATGTTGGCAAAACTTGGGTTGTGGTGTACAGCCTTAAAATGCAGGGACAGACCTAACCTTGAGTCGGAAGTGCTTCCAGAGCTCGAAAATATCCTAAGCAGGGTTACTGTTTCTCTCAAACTCGAAAATATCCTTGCACCAAGCCACTTCTTCTGTCCGATACTGCAGGTAAAATTAGCTAGGTACTTTACATCAACAGTTCCATTTACCCGTTTGCCACTCTAGCTAAATGGAAGAATTTTGATGTAGGAGATAATGGAACATCCTTACGTTGCTGCTGATGGGCACACCTATGAGCACAGGGCAATCAAAGCTTGGCTCGAAAAATACAAGGTATCCCCAGTGACAAATCAGAGGCTTCCACATTTATCCATAATTCCCAACCATTCCTTGCATGCGGCAATACAACAATGGAAGTTACGGACATCTTAACAAAGGCATGAGATGACTGTTTTGTTTGTTGTATATAGTTTGATTCATCACTGTCCTTTTGAGTTAAGATGTAAATAAAGAGCAATAGTTCTATAGTGAAAGAAGATAGTATTGTAGGAATAAGTTGTGTTAATAGTCTAGATTTGTTAGAGCTGGTTTAGGCTAAATGGCCTATATCTTGTACTCAAACAATTGAAGTTACAACTGAATTCAGTTCTGGGATGCTGTATGTTTTTGTAGCTATAGCCTACAATACATTTTCTTGGAGGGTCCGATTACAATTTTCAGTGTGATTTTTCTGAGATCAGGTATCTTGGTGAAGTGTTGTTCTGTACACCATTATCAGTAGCTAAAACTCCTCAGTTATGGCACACTTTGTACTTCTTATCTTAATAAAATAACACCCAGCTCTCCTACAACGTTTGAGGAAAAAAAAATCCTCAGTTTGGATTATCCAAACCATCCTTTGTTTTCTTGCAAGAATTAGCCTAACTCTACAAAACATCTGAAGGCATAAAATATGGAACTAAGAACTGGAACTGCCCAGGATGAAGTTTCACAACGTGATTCCAGATTTTATTTTTGAAACCACTACGAAGTATCTTATTGGTATGGGATACAAGTTGTTCGTCGAGGTACTTGACAAAATTACTCAAAACATATTGACTTTTGAATGGGTGCTTCCAAGTGGTTCTATGCTATACTGCTAGCAGTAACCTCTACTTCTTTTGGAACAAGTAATGTGCAACCATCCATTCATCTCCATTGTTGTATCCAAAAAGTTCAGCTACCGAGATGAAGAACGTCCGCCAATAAGCTATCCATTTGGTAGTTGATTCCTTCCCATAAGTTTTCTCGAAGATCGGTCTTATTGAAGTGATACTCTTGTCCATACGTTTTAGCCACTCCTCGCTGCACAAAAATGACCCCAAGTGCTTAAGTTAATCAATACACTGTATTGGATGTCGATGCACTTGTTGCCTGACATTTTGTCCTTTACAGTATAAAACACGACAGTGCAAATGGCAAAAATGATAAATCCTCTACTTACAAGATAAAGCTTGAAATGCAACTTTTGCATTTCCTCACTAATAGTCACAGGAGTTGCTGACTAAAAAAATCAGTTTAGAATGCATGGATTGTTACAGCGAGGATAGTTTGAAGCTTGGAAGGATATACTCCCTCCATCCATAAAAGAATACAAATCTAACATAGTACCAAGTTAAATTATCTTGAGTTTGACTAACTATAAATAAAAATTATCAATATTTATAATATTAAATAAGTATCATTAGATTTGTAATGAGTTTGGTGCCATAAATACTAATATTTTTACATATATGTTTAGTCAAAGTTTGGACAAATTAACCAAGAATGTATCTAGATTTACATTTTTTTTGGACAGAGGTATATAGTACCTAGTTCTCGCATAATGCGTGCCATTGACAAGCCAATGATTGACCACAGATACATCTTCCTGCAGTAATATAGTCAGTAAAATATCAATAACCGCATGTTATCAGAGTCAGTAAATATAAACATTCGTAAGAGTATTGATTGATAGCCGGTCAACCGGTATTCATACTTAATGCATGAGAGCACTCCTCAAAAAAGAAAGAATGATTGGACACTACCTGAAAGTAGAGAAGTAGGTTTGCAGATGGCATTGTTCCTCCACTGAAGAAATACCTCGTGATCCAATCATCATCATTTTTATCCTGTCAAATTGTGAGGTGATGAAAATTAACATAATTGTTGAAGTATAAGTGAATTGCTCACTTCTCCCCATTAGCTTAAGCTTTTGGATTAAACTGGTTGTTGCATGCATCTCAATATGGTATCAAAGCCAAGTTTTGAGTTCGAATCCTGGCAAATAAAAATAATTGTTGCTCGCTCCTAGTCCACGTCTGACAGTTTACATGGAATGCGTTCAGTATGGATCAGATATTGAGAACTTAAGTTCACATGGAATGCCTTAGATATTGAAATTAAAACTATGCTGCGTGCATCTGACAGATTAGCTACAACTTTGTGCACCAGCCAAATACAAATACAGGTACAAGCCTGCAGTTTATTAGGTGGTGGAATGCACCAAATGACCAGTGAAAATGCAGGATCATTAATCTACCTCAAAATGATATGGAAATGTTTTGTGGCAGAAGAAGTGAACAAATAGTAGGCCGTCCTCTTTCATCCACCTGGATATCTTCTTAAGAAGTGACTTGTAGTTTTTCATGTGCTGCATAATGGGCCATGACAAACGATCATTTGCCTTGATGAATATTGAAAGCACAGCAAGACACCAAACTGAATCATACCTCAAACATCTCTATAGATATGATCCTGTCAAAAGAGCGCTCCATCTCAAACTTGCTGATGTCTGCTACAATTATCTCAACATTTGACAACTCATTTTCCCTGAAACAGAATTGAAGTGGCAATGTGACATAACAAAGCATTACCGGAAGGGAAATCAAAGTTAGACCAAATGGTGGTAGATCTGTCTGCATATCTAGCAAATCTACATGCATGTGAAAGATAATTTTTGTCAATAGTATGGTTAAAATAACAGACATAGGTCTTGACAATTATATCCTTACACAGCTCATGATATTTGAACTTCATTATTTGCAGTTTTCAACAGCTGCAGAATTGACAGCAATATAACAACATGATGAACATGAAACAAATTGCAGTGAGAGGAATAGGCTGCAATGGTCACTTAGAAGGGTTACATGGAACATAAGTTGGCACTACATGTAAAAATAATCAACTGACTCCATGTACCACCGAAGCACTGAAACCATTACACTTACCTACATTGCTCTTCTATAAAAGCCTTTTGTGTAGTAGAGTTGCATATCCCTGTTACACTGCAGTTCCTATATTTCTTTGCAATGTACAGTGAAAGGGATCCCCATCCACATCCAACATCTAGGATGCTCTGGCCATCTTGTAGTTTTGACCTCTCACAGTACAGATCCATCATTGCAACCTCAGCATCTTCTAGGGTGCTTGAATCATCAGGGAAGTAGCAGGAACTGGAAGATTCAATGTATTCGTGTGGATTAACCAAAGAGAATATGCCTTTTGCTTAAACTAAGGAGTGGGAGTATACACACTGCACCATCAGCCACTCATATAAACAGACCTCTTCCTAGTATACCATCTGACCAGAATATGTCTTTTGCTAAAACTAAGGAGTGCGCACAAACCTGTATTTGAGATTCCTTCCAAGCACTAACTTGAAAAATGCAGTTGGCAACTCATAATGTTGGGCTTTAGCTTTGTCTGTTTCAATGGCAATGGGCATCTCTTCAAGAGCTGCATCACGGAAAACACGCAGCACAATAATGAGAAATTCGATTCCTAACTCCTAAGAGATCAATAGCATCACAAAACTAGTAATCAATCTGGGTATCGCTCTGGTGGCTAGGTTAGTCTTTACTGAAACAGTAGATAACAAAACAGATACATATTGGCATCTGTTAGTCATCATTGGAGCCTCAGAGGATTGTAATGCAGGGTTGATGATACTTTGGCCAGTTTGGTACAACTTAACGGCAAACTATCCCAAAGAGGGCCTATGTTGCAACAACACATGATCTCGGTTGCTCCCGTAGTCCCGTCGCCGGCCCCTTCCCCGGTCCCCCGACTTCCCCCTCTGCCCCTCCCAGTCAGTCGTCCGCCCGGAGCCCCAGATCCACGGACGCGGCGCCGTTCTCCTGCTCCTCCGGGTCCAGCAGTCCAACCGCTGTTCTCCTGCAGTCGGCTAGGGGCTCCGTCAAGAGGCGCCGGGGAGCAGCGGCCAAGATATGCTGGCGCGCAGCGGCCAGGGGCGGCCGGCGATGGCAAGCTGCGCCCTGGGGCGCTGGCAAGCAGTGGGCAGGGGGGCTTTTACATTTTTACCATTATTAAGATTGGCGCTCATCCGATTATCACTTTTAGAATGGCACTTACAATTTTACCAGATGAGAGAAGTTTGAGTTCTTCATTTACCACATTTGTGCATGTGGCAAGCCATGCCAGTCCGACACGCTGGCGTCCGGTCAGTATGGGCACGCGAAATGTCCTTGCTGCCCCTGATCTGCTCCTCTCTCCATCTCTGACAGCCGGGTCCTGCAGCTCCCTCTCACTGCCAGGTGGGCCCCACTTGTCAGCTTTGTCTTCCACCTCCAGCACTTGGATGGGAGCACACGAAGAAGCTCGGAAACGAATCAAATCCGTTTTTGGTCGTAGGATATTTTGCTGCGTATCTATCCAGAGCATGCCACAGGTTTGTCTACAGCGCCGCGCCACGTGCGAGCTGGGTGGGGCTGGGCGGCCATGGCGAGCGCAGCGAGCTCCGCGGTCGTTGGCCGTGAGAGAGCATGGCGGCACTAGGCAGCCGGCCGCGGCAAGCTCCCGTCGACGGGCACGCACGCGCCTCTCCTAGACGGGCACCGTCCACGGCGAAGGAACATGAAGCAGCGTTGGTTCGCGGTGGTGGCGTCGTGGAAGCGCTGTAGGGACAACGACCACAAGTAGTACTAGCAGAGGTGGACGAGCTCGCCCGCGGCCATGGCCGCCCGCGCCACCGTGGCCGGGCTCGCCCACGGCCATGGCCAGCCGCGCTGCTGGGGCCGAGCTCGCCTACGGCCAAGGCTAACCGCGCTGCCAGCGCCGACCTCACCCGTGGCCAGGGCCACCAGCGCCGCCGCCAGCCGAGCTCGCCTACGCCTGGGCTGAGCTCGCCGTCAAGATCGAGCTCGAGCAGCTCGTTGTCTCCATCCTCGATGACCCCAGCGTTAGCCACATCATGCGTGAGGTTGGCTTCTCCAGCACCAGTGAAGGCCGTGGAGCAAGCAGTGTGCAGCACCTTGACGAACATGAGGAGATTAGGGAGATGTGTGCGTATGTTGGAGGTGGAAAACGAAGCTGACGAGTGGGGCCCACCTGGCAGTGAGAGGGAGCTGCAGGACCCGGCTGTCAGAGATGTAGAGAGAGAAGCAGGTCAAGGGCAGCAAGGACATTTTGCGTACCCATGCTGACTGGGCGCCAGCGTGTCGGGCTGGCGTGGCTTGCCACATGCGCAAATGTGGTAAATGATGAACTCAAACTTCTCTCATCTGGTAAAGTTGTAAGTGCCATTCTAAGAGTGATAATCGGATGAGCGTCAATCTTAATAATGGTAAAAATGTAAAAGCCCCGTGGAAGGGGCGTCGGCGTGCAGTGACCCCCTCCACTCTCTGGCCCGCTGACCGCTGGGCCCCGCGCACCTGTGTCCCAGACCGGTGGGTCCGCCCTGTCAGCCTCACCCCTCCCTTTCTCCTGCCACCCGTCGCCGAGCCGGACTCTGCTCCGACGGCAACCGCCAAATCCCGAGAATCCTGGCCCTCCTTTGGCCTGATCCCCACGCTGAGCGGCCGAGCCCCTGTGCCGCGTCGCCCCATCTAGCCCTTCGCAGCAGCAGCAGCCGCGCCCCAGAAGCCAGAGCTCCCAGCGCCGAAGCTAGGGTCCACGGATCCTCAAAAGGGCAAACCAAGAGACAGAACCACGGATATGCCAAGAAACGTGTGGTCCGTGCTGGTGATCTTCTTGATCTGCCTCTTTGTTTGCCCTTTGAGGATCCGTGGATTCTCATGGAACTTCTCCTCCTCCTGGTCTGCGGCCACGCGGTGGCCGACTTCGCCATGGATGGAGCACAGTCTGCTCGAGAACACGCGGTCGTCGTTTGGGCATGTAGGCTTCTACCTGTCTGGGAGGTTGCATCTTCTTGGATTAGAAATGTGGCTTGCCTGTCTCCTGTGTGCAAACCTATACAGGTTTGGATGTGCATTTGCATAATATTGCACACGCAGCAGTTTTTTTTTCTCCATTTAACACTGAATGACTTCTTTTACTGTCGCATGGATGTGCATGTCTTCGTTTTGATGATTGATATAATTCACCATCCAGGGTGGTTAGAAGAAAACAGCACTGCCTGTCTTCGTTTTGATGATTGGAATACTGAAGTTCAAATCAGAGCATTGTGTCTGTGCAGCTCTGTATAACGGATGCGGTACCCTGTCTTATACTGTGGCACTTTGTAATTCTTTTGCAAATTTATTTTCTCATCTTCTCTCTGAAATTGTTTCCAAATAGTCAACCTATGCTGCGACAACTCAATGTGCCATGCATTTTAGTTGAGGCATGTTGTTAGCAAATTGGAATAATAAAATGGAGATTCTCTCTTTTCTTCAATGTAATCTGACTGATCTATGTTGTAGTGCAGAGTGATTCCATATTATACGTTGTCATTTTTCGTGCATTATATCCTGACATCCGTCTCACAATAATCTCTCTCCCTCTACTTTCAGATATAATTACAGTTGACCTTAGTGTTCAAAGGATGACCAGGTATTTTGTTTCCCATTTCTCTTCAACTGTTGTCACATTACTAGTGAGCAGGTAATTGGTCACAGATGAAGCAATCTCATATTCCTAATGAAAAAGAAAATTCAGAGATTCAGAGTTCAGGAAACCAACCCGTTTTAGTTTCTTCTTGGTTGCAAGTACGCACTGATGATGCATGATAAATCAGAAGGTGCTATTTGCTTTTGTCCTACCTTATGCAGGAGTTTAGGATATGCAACCAGACTTAAAATATTTGTTTTGACTTTTGTTTTCTTTCCTTTTCCATATCCTGTGTATCCTAGCTTATGGCCACTGGGAGACCAGGTAAATGCTTGATCAGTTTGGTGATTTTTTTACTCCCTTCATATGTGTTTAACTAATGTTACCTTTTTTTGCTTTTGTTTTAATTTTGCAAGCTGGGGGCTAATAACAAGAGGGATTTCCTTCCTCTTTATTGAACTGGAGGTATGGATCTTGAGGTTATCAGAAAAAAAAATTACACATGACTATGATTATAGGAAGCAAGAGCTTTTTTTAGTTCTGCAATATGGTTCAGTGACCCTCAGAAAATGCTTGCGCACTGTCAATTTGGTGTTTTTTGCATGGTTTTTCGAGGAAAAAAAATGTTGTTCTTTAATCTACCTGCAGAGCATTAGAGGTGATAGGGAAATAGATGTTTTAGTCCATAGAGATCCATGGTCAGGCTTCTCACTACTAGCGCTGGTGGTTAGTGCAGTTCTATAGATTTCTACTCAGTTTATAGGTTTCTTGAGGGACATTCCTCTGCTTAATTCAATTGTTCCCCAAACCAATGTACACATTCCTCTCTCTTACTCATGGTACTTAATTCAATTGTTCCCGAAACCAATGTACGTAGTACACGTTCCTCTCTCTTTGTCATGGTGCCACAGTGGATAAAGTTCCAAATTACTTTAGTCTTCAGGGATTCAGTGTGAGTGATCCCTGGTGACTGGTGTGACTGAGCCCTATCAGCAGTCAGCTCCCATAATCATGCAGAGAAAATGAAAACATAGAGTTTGATAGGGATTTGTTGGAACTTCCTGTCACTTATCTTTTACTCTAATTAAATTAGTTTTCTGAGCTCTAAACTTGGTTGAGTATTTAAACTTGCCATGAGTGTAATGTAGGACTTTTAATGTCCCATTTTAAGTATATTCACACAAACAGGTACTCTATCTGAAGACATCTCTTGTGTTTTTCCCTGCCATAGTGATGGGTCCTTGGTGTGGGTTCAGAAAATAATCAGTGCTTTTTTCTGCCCTGCATGTTTTGGTCCAATGAAATTGGTATGCCTGGTCACTAAGGACATGCCTTATCTTATTTAATTTCCTCACAGGCTGCAGCTTATGGCACTTGGACTCTAATATAATGAGGTTTAATAGGGTTCAGTTTGGTATTTGTTAGTGCGAGATAACAATGTGTTCCTGGCATTCCCTACCAGTCTCATAACATAGCAGTCCTTGTTTTGCTTAGATACTGACCTTTTGAAACAACAATATTCATTTTCTGCATGAATCGACAAGTTCCATTTTTTTTTGCAGTGAAAGGTATTCTTTAATCCCCTGCGATATATGAAAAATGTAAGTAACTGCTCTTTTGGTGCTTCCACATTAGCTTTCTGTTGGAGAAATCTTTGTGAAAAAAATGGCATACTGCTATTTGATTCATCGCTTCCTCTTTGCAAGGCATGTGCTATTTTTTATAGGAATTACCATGTCTCAGCTACTACTTGGTTGTCTTAGCTTTACCACATTGTCAACGTAAAAAATTATTTTACCTTGCCTTCTTTTCATCATTTAAAGGTAAATCAGTGTTAACAACTTTGAGATTCTTTTCAGCATTCCAATACTGTTAAACATTTTTGCACAGTTCTGTATCACCTTGCACATTACTAATATGTTTCTGTAAAGCCACATCAAATAAATTCTCATAATTGATTAGTGCATCCTGTTTTTCAATATTACAGCGATCTTGTGTATGATCTGTCAATTCTGAGCAAGCGCTTGACAGAGCTGGATTTCTCTACAGTGTTGACCATCCTAACCATCATAGCTATTCATGTATAGAGTACTGTACTCTCTTTTTCTGTTTCTGAGTGAAGCTGGGAATATGCTTTCATCTAAATGGGCCGGTTGTGGAATGAAGTTGCCCATTCATATTTTTGAGTCCAAGGGCTACCTCATCAAGAACAATGGCTTATCTATGTTGACATATTGAGAACAAGTGTCTCCTGTAATATGTTATGTTCATGTCAACTTATTATATCAATATAATGCGCCGTTACTAAATATTGGGTCTTTGAGTGTTATTCATTCTTTGTCAAGGTCATTTCATTTGACAAATAAAACCACAAAGTTATCACGCGCGCATGGGCGTGCACAAATTACTAGTCTACAAAAGAGGGGGTGGCCTCATCAGGAACATTGTGTTTTGTGTAAAAATGGATCTTTGGAGACAAGGCTTCATCTCTTTGCTATGCCTTTTGCAAAGGCCGTTTGAGGCCAAGTGTTACCTTGGGAAAATCTCATGGTGCAGCTGTCGCAACAGGGCCCTGAATGCATTGCCGACTGGTGGGAAGATGCAGCAAGCAAGATTCCAAAACAGGGCCGCAGGCGTTTCAACGGAATACTAATCTATATTGTGTGGAACTTGTGGAAGAAGAGGAATAGGAGGATTTTTTAGAACGAGTTCAAGACGGCATAGCAGGTTGCCTCCTTGGCCAAAGAGGACACAGTGCAAAGGCGTAGGACATTTTCCTTTGAGGGGTGAACACACTGACAGTGGGAGGGGTGTTTCTAATTTGGTCCTGCGATCGGCATGATTGGCCCAGTGGGCGCCATGTGTACATAAAACATTCTTTTCTATACTTATTTGAGTGGCAGGGCTCCTGTCTTTTCTTTAAAAATAAATCTCCATCTCGTATTTTGAGTTAACCAATCTCAGTTTTGATTAAGTTTATAAGCAATAATATCAGCATTTGTATCTCCAAAATAAGTTTACTATGAAAATATATGATGTGATTAATCTAATGATGCTTTTCTTGTACCACAAATATTAGTATTTTTTATATATTTAGTCAAAATTTGATATTGTTTAACTCATCGAAAAAAATGTGATATGTAGTCTTTTTTTTTTTGTGTGTGTGGACAGCGGTCAACCTAACACCCCATATATTCCCGTTGAATATTTCCCACGGACACCCCCACGACCACGATCCACGAATGCCTTATCCGACCTTTAACTGAAACCGCCGCGCGGCGGTTGGGGTGGCGGAACACTCGGTACGGCGGCGCCGATGTACTCGATACCTACAGCGGGCCGTTGGCAGTTGGAAGACTGTACCCGGTAGTCGGGACTTGCAACGGACAAACTGGAGGAGCTGTACTCGGTACTTACAGCCGACAAACTGGAGGAGCTGCTGCAGCTGGAGTGGCGCGGAGGGGAGGTAGCCCTGGCGGAGGCGCTGCGCGAGCAGGAGCCGCGTCAGGCGCCGGGTCACCGCGTCCGGGATGAGGTTGCGCTCCAGTGCCACCAGCGCAGACCGCGTCGCCACCTCGTAGGCCCGCTCGGCCACGGACGCTGCCACCATGCTGACCCTCGCTGTGCGGGTGCGCGGAGGCGGCCTGCTGGAGCTGGAGGGAGAAGGAAGTGACGAGACAGGACAGGCTTCGCGTTGCGGCGTAGATTGGGCGGGCATCTATCGGCCGCGGGTTGGTGGTGGTGGGAGTTTCGTGTGAATGCAGACCAGCCACGTCGGTGCTACAGCGCGCGCTATTTTTCAACAGTATTTTTCTATTTATAGTTTTTTTTTCCAAATGAACATGTATGCTAAGTCAAGACCATAAATCCAAGTAGATAAGTTGTACCAAAAAAAATATATAATCAACTAAACTACACTTAAGGGACTGTTTGGTACTACTAAACTTCACTAGTGAATCAATTTTTTTAAGCTTCAGGTCCATAAAACGGCTTCACCAGTAAAGCAAAAACTATTTTCATAAATGTTTGGTAAAACAATTTCTCCGAGTAGATAGCAGAGAGAAAGGTAAAAGAAGCTAGTATTTTTAGCTCCATCTAGGGATACATGCATGTGAGAGGAGCTGGAAAATAACTTTTAAGGAGAAGCTGTTTTATTCGGACCTAAAAATAGTTTTACGAAGGTATACACCCTTAGTTTCGACGTGTTCATAATAAAATAATATTATTTGAATTTAAACAAGATCAAATTTGAAATGGGCTATGAAAACAAATCGAAATGTGCAACGGACAATAGGGGCGATACCTGGCAAATCGTCTAGTGGCACTGTACCCACGCGAAATGAGCCTAGCTCAGTTGGTTAGGTTCGGTGTGGTGGAACCTGTCCATCTGGGTTCAAGTCCTCGACTTAACATGTGTGATCGTATTTTCCTGGATTTATTCCAGGATTTAACGGCGTTGTGCTTTCAGTGGTAGGCGACATTCCCGTCGACAACGATGCGCTTGTGGTGACTTCGTCAATCTCGAAATCTGCCGACGCAGTCTTACAGAGATGCTCATAGGGATAGGATTTACGTGCGTACGTTCACAGGGATGAGTGTGCGTACGTTGTGTGTCTGTACTGTGTAATTCGGAAAAAAAAAAGTGGTTGCCGTATAATCCGGTGTGTCTATGTGGAACTTGGTTGATCATTCAACGAGGCCAAATCCTAGCCACAACCTAACCCAAAGTTGTGAGTTGTATGATCCGATGGTGACACCTCGGCGGATGATTTGGTGAAGCCCAACTTGATTTAGTGAAAAGTTTGCTAGATTACTACAGTGTACCATAGGATCCGATGGTGACTTTGTGACTCCTGAGCCTATCGTTTGGTGGGGTCAAACTTGAGTTTGTGACAAGTTGGCGAAGTCTTCGTACTGCATCATGTGATGCGGTGACTATGACACTCCAGCATATCATCTAGTGGGAAATGTTTTTATATATTCCATGCTAGCCAATGGAGAAAAAACATATCAGCAGCAACATATGTCCCGATAAAGGCAGTGGAGGGAAGCGGCTTATTCCAACGGCTAGCAGGCCCTTCATCCTCAGCTCCTCTATTTCAATGGCACAACGCGATAAATTTTGGATCGTGCCAGCGTGGAACAAACGCAAGCGCTATGTTGTGCCTAGGATCTTAGCATGATTGGCTACATGTCACCATATGTATCTTGGACCAACATGGCATAAAAAGAACCCCATCTATTGGTATTTGCCTTCTATAGATCTATCGTAGCAATGGTCATCCTTGAAAACACGAAATATACCTTCCGTTCATTGTATTGTAGCAACTTGTTAGTTTTATAAGAACAAATAAATGCTAGTAAATTAGACATTATTGTCTACAACATCCTCTAGAATAGTCTGAAGCACCCGATCAAATCTCGGTACGATGAAAACTATGCAATGCATGATAAGGGTATGATTGGTTGGTTGCATATATGCCAGCTAGGCTCACGGGATTCAAGTCAGATGATTAGTTGGTTGTATGGCTCCACGGGCCTAGTTCTGTTCATGCAAAAAAACTCTCTTAGCCTAGCTCTCGAGATACAGGGATTTTAGGTGTTTCTTCGAAGCCTGGCTCGCCAGATGCGAACAGTTACTAGGTAAGGACATTATTAGCATATTTTAAGTGATATTAATGTACTTCAAACAATATTAAGCATGAGTAAGATAAGTTAAGAGCAATAAAAAATGGTTGCATATAACAAATACTACCGTGATTGTGTTTACTTGCCTAATTTCTCGTGCAAGCAACCAAACACCATCTCAGCTCCACCAGGCCAAGTGCTTGTGTAGTTCCAAAAATTTTGCAAAATTTTTCAAGATTCCTCGTCACATCGAATCTTTGGACGCATGCATGAAGCATTAAATGTAAATAAAAAATAAAACTAATTACACAGTTTAGACGAAATTCACGAGACAAATCTTTTAAGCCTAATTAAACTATGATTAGACAATAATTGTCAAATAACAACGAAAGTGCTACCGTATCATTTTATAAAAAAAATTCACCAACTGAACCAGGCCCAACTAGATGCTAGCAACGAAACATGGTAGTGTTGTATTTACCCAACCTATCCCCCGAGGGGCCTGCTCCCGGATACGAGCCAAGCTGAACACTAGCGTATATAATACCGATGAAGGTTGTGTTTGGGCTCTCTCCACGACGCGAAGGCAGAGTGAACCGGCACAGTACGTCCTTAAGGTGTCCCCAACAATCCCGTCCTCGCTAGCTGTTTGATTACGTGGAGGAGAGAGAACGCCCGAAAATCTCGTCGCTAGCGCTCAACTCGTCGCCCAGCTCGCTCGGCTCCCCAGGATTCTACTGTCGCTGGTGCATGACCCCACTTCCCTCTCTACTGCGCGGCTGGCAGCTTTTTCCTTTTTTTTCCACTGAGCGGGCTCAAACAACAATACCAAAATATAAGACTCATTCGTTCTTTAGATAGCGCTATAGGTAAAATGTTCAATACCTATTCGACATCTTCTCCAACAACAAAACCAAAAAAAAAGAATCCTTTTTACAAATGGGTTTCCAGGAGAGAGCATGTTAATATTTGGGTTGTGCCTCTCAGGCAACCCAAAATAGATCTCCCATATAGTTACTCTATTAAAGACTAATTTTAAATCTCTTGCTATCTATTTTAGATTTGGATGCCCATATAAATTCTTTGTAAGTTCTTTGCTAGAGACAGTCTAAGAGTCGGCCGTCTCCAATAGGAGATTTATTGGAGGACCCAAACTTAAAATGGATCTCTAACATAATATCTAGAGTCTTCAACGAAGTATTTATATAGAATATCTATTTTGGATACCAGGAAAGGTATAACCAAAATCTAAGTATCCTCTCTCCTAGAGATCCATTTGTAGAAAGAGTTATCTTTTAAGTTTGTTGTCAAAGAAGACAAAAAATATATATTGAACCCTTTACCTATAACATTACTTAAAGAACAAATAAGTCTTATTTTGGGTCAAGCTAGTTGGAGACCGTGTTAGGAGACAGGCCTTTGACTCTTGAGAAACGTAGCACTCTTATTCACCCCTCTCCTCTTGTAAGAGTTTCTGTTCTTGTTTAGTTCGTAAAAAGTTTTCTAAAAAGTGATGCAGTAGCCATCACATCGAATCTTGCGATACGTGCATGTAGCATTAAATGTAGACGGAAAAAAACTAATTGCACAGTTTGGTTGAAAATTATGAGACGAACGTTTTGAGCCTAATTAGTTCATGATTGAACACTAATTGCCAAATAAAAACGAAAATACTACAGTAGCCAAATTCTCAAATTTCACGAACTAAACACAGCCTCTGTCTGTTTTCACTTTTCAATCTGTATACTGTAATGTCCTCAGTTTCAATTGGTTCGTCCTCAACGTTGGCAATTCATTCTTTGTACACTACACATATGAATTCCTCACATTTCAAGTCTCCGCGCTACTTAAGGCTCAACCCAAGCAGGGAACTACGCGCTCTGCGCCTCCAAGAACGCGTGGAACTCCGCCCTGGCCATCGCCAGACGCGGCGTCATGCACGGCGACGATGGGCACGACGACGCCGCCTCCGCCGCCACCGCCGTCGAGAACCTCACGTGCCTCTGCGACGACGTCGACGGCCTGGCCGAGTCGATGAGCCGCGACGACGCCGAGTTCTTCAGGATCCCCCTCGTCGCCGCGGGCGGCTCGCCGTCGAACACGAACACCATCTTGACCGGCGCCTCCGCATCGTCGTCCGCGCAGCTGGTCTTGGCCACCTCCGTCGCGTGGCAGCCGACGGCGTCCACGGGCGGCGGTGGCGGAGGAGGAGGAGGAGGAGGGCTCCACGACCCGCACTCGAACCTCTCCAGCGACGCCACCCGCGACGCGCTGCTGCGGCGAGGCCTCAAGCCCGACTGCTGCCGCCTCTGCATGCTCGACGACAAGGCCGTGCCCGCGGTTGTGGTACCGGCGGCGAAGGCGGCCGCGGGCTTCCTCTTGGAGAAGCCCGGGAAGAGCATGCACAGCGCGCCGCACGTGAAGCCGTCCTCCGCGGCGGCGAGCGTCTTGGGCTGGACCGGCTCCGGCTCTTCCTCGTCGTCGTGCGGCGCCATGGTCCTGCCCTCGGGCTGTGGGTTGCAGGCTGCTCCTCCCACTTGGCGCCACCAGCACCTGGACGAGCGCCGGCGTGCACCGGGGAGGAGGCCCCCGAGCACGGCAGGCTGGCGCCGACGAACGTGGGCCGGCGGAGAGGCGGCAGGATCGGGGACGACTGCACCACCACCTCCGTGAGCACGGAGGGCGCGGAGAGCGGCGAGTCCTCGTCGGCCACCATGCCCAGGCGGCGCAGCGACGCGGGGTCCACGGGGATCTGACGCTCCTTCACCGTGGATGGCGACGCTGGCGGGGCCGGGCTCGGGCTCTTGCCGCCGCGGTCCGCCGGCGCGGAGCCTTCTGCTCCTTCCTGTGGCGTCTCCTCCGCCACTGGCCGCGCTTCGCTCATGGCGTCGGGCTCCGCCGCCGCCGCTGTGGCTGCTTCTTCCCCCTCGCGGGACTGCATCGCCGTGTACCACAACGACATGTATGGACTTGTATTGGCGGATTGGTGCATGAGCTGACGAAAAACTGATCGTGCGCGCGGGCTGCTTAAAATAAATGGCGGTTTGACAATTTACATGGACGGTGGTGGTGCGTAGTGGGGAGCATGAAAGGAGAAAGGCATCACGACGTGGTACGTGATCGTCACGTACGTGTTGTACTCCTAGTATTGGCGCCTTAGTGCTTCACCATAACACTATGATAAAAATAATAAAAAAAAATACAATAAAAACTTTAGTCGAGTATGATAATCAAGCGAACGTTCAGAGTCAGACACTTCTTAAAAGAACAGCAGCAGCAGACTCCCGGGCTGCTTTGTGTTGAGAATTCATATATAATACTAGCAAAAACCAAAATAAAATACTTAATGTAGAAATTTTCCAGTTAAAATAGATCTCAATTGACGCTTTTAGAGTTCAGGCGATGGCCACCACATAAGGACATACCCAATGCCTGAAAGAACGGTCATGTTTCTCCAATCTTATGCGAATCACTTCTTTTGTAGCAACACACAAGAAGCACCCACATTGGTAATAAAAGTTATCATCATAGATAAAAAAAACATTTGGTAATAAAAGGTGTTATCCTTGCTATGCCCAACTAAGCTCAATTGTTCAAATTATTTTAAATTTGACGAACTTTAAAGAAAAAATTGTTTACATATAACATCTATCAGATCAATATGAAAAAATATTTTCTAGTAGTACAAACTTGGTGTCATAAATATCGACACTCTTTTTTTATAAAGTTGATCAAACTTAAAATAGTTTGACGTACGACAACTCGAAAAATTAATTTAATTTAGGACAAAACACAAAAGGAGTAGTTGGGTACCTTCTTAATTAATACGGAGTTGCCGGACGCTCGCACCCTGCTGCACCCCCGTGTAACGCGCCCGCCCGCCCGCCTACCGTGCTTCACATGGGGGCCCACGCCGCTTCGTTTCCCATGCATGCACGCGCCCACACGGGGGCCGCATCTCGATCTGCCGCTCGCGCCCCCTCCGCTCCCACACACATGCACGGGAGGCAGCTGTTGCAAGCAGGTGGTTGCTGTAGGTGGGTCCCACTACAATATGTGCAATACCAGATGAAACATTTGGGGCATACACTTGAAACATCATTGCAACATGTCCAACATCCCGATCTACTTTTGAAACATCCAGATGCAACATTTGCAACATACAAAGAAGACAGATGAAATATTTGAAACATGCGTCTGAAACACTTGCAAAAGGACACTTGAAAACACTTGAAAAGCCATTGCAAACATACGTAACATCCAGATAAAACACTCGCAACATACGCAACATCTAGATAAACACACTTGCAACATACGTTAGAAAAACAGATCAAACATTGGGGATAGACGCTTGCAACATACGTTTACAACCATTGCAACATCTCGATCTACTTTTGCAACATCCGTATGAAACACTTGCAACATATCTCTAAAACATTTGAAACATTTGAATTGTACGCTTGCAACATGCATCATATCTCGGTGCGACCTCCTCCACCGTCTGCATCGGGGCGCAGCCGTAGTAGGAGGCGAGGTCGGAGGGCTTCCGCACCAGGGCCCGATGCTTCTCCTTGCGTTGGCGGCGCCTGTCGACGTTGTCGGGTGGGGCAGGCAGCGGAGAAGGAGCAGCAGCAGGAGCACCGGGGTGGGCACGTGGAACAGTGGCAGGAGCAATAGGGCGGGCGCGTGGAGCAGGAGCAACGCTAGGAGTGGCGAGGCGAGCACACGGAAGAGGAGCAGGAGCAACGGGGTGGCATGGCGAAGCAGGAGCTAGAGCCGAGGCGGCCGTGGTGTGGGGGTGGGAAACGCCGCAGTGGATGCGAATGGGAAAAATCTCTCTTTTTTTGATAAACCGTGTATGCCGTGGCGAGGGGAGCATGCCTGTGAGCCGGTCCGCAGGCCCAGCTGGAGCGTCCGGGCGGACAGACGTGGGATGGACGTCCGCGGTGGAGCATTACCGTAATTAATAACCTATATCCTACCGGAGTTATGAGGAAGCATGGTTATACAATGTTAGAGAAATGTGAAGAGGAACTAGCCAATCCAACATGAGTTCTTAACAAACTCAGAATTCAAAGAATAATTGGTAACGCTATGTTTAATGAGATACTAACTAGCAATTAACAAATTTTCTTTTCTACTTTGCTTATTGGCTTTTGACTACACTATCCATCAGACCCACCACCGAGCAGCAATCAGTCGTGAACCGTGACCATGAGCACTACACCGCGCCCTTTGTGTCGTTGCAACATAAGTCACGATCCTTCGAGGGTTACTGCACTACTAGACGGGGCCATGCCGGTAAAATTTGAGGCCCTGTACCAAACTGTAAAATGAGGCTTTATCCTTTGATAAAAAAGACTACAATAATTATCAATTCTACATGCATATCTTATATACGTATTAACCTTAGAACACTGGCCGTAATCACACGAAGGAGAGATAGTTATAGTTCACATAATGATTACCTGGAAAAAAAGTTCATATAATGATACGAAGGATAGTAAATTCAAATCAAAGGAAAAGATTAAAATGACCTAGGACCTTTTTTATAACAGTCCTGACTCATGCCTCATGCCTGTTCCAATGCTAATCCATCATGAAAGTTAACGGCATGGGCTTGAATTTATCCCCTATAGCTAGGCCTATAGCTGGCAGTCACTAGCAGTTTGCACACACCTGGTGATGAACTAAAGATGGCCGGAGTGATGGTTGCTAGCTAGTAAATCAAACAAAATTTGGCCCCCCTGGTAATTAGAGGCCATGTTCCCTCGCACCGTTTGCACGCCCCTCGGCACGGCCCTGCTACTAGATGAAGATATAACACGTAGTGATACTATCAATGAATATAAAGTGAGCTTATTCCTTTGTTTATATTACGATATCAGTAAAAAAATGTTGCTATTTAATGTTGATACTTTCATGGTCTTCTTACACTAGAGAGTGCAGACCCGATTGTATAACACTAACACTCTCCCATAGTATGTCATGCTCGTGGCACGTCGTTGTAACTTTTATTATTTTTCGATTTTAATACAAAGATGCACAAACTTTTTGCAGAAATTTTTTTAGATAAATATCATATGGTAGGCACTCTTTTTAAGTTTTTTTTTTGAGAAATAGGCACTCTTTTTAAGTGTCTTTATTTATTATAAAAAAGGAAGAAAGCAGACCGTGGGCTAACTTACACGATTACACTTTAGGATCACACACAATCACGCCCTAACCGGCACCTGGGCCTGGAGCAAAAGCCCCCGTCCGTCCTCGCTGCATGCGGCTGGGCCGTTCCTCCGCAATGTACTTCCACTTGCTCCGCGTAGGCTGCCGACTGCCGTCCGTGACCGCCCGAGTGCCAGACGCGCACCGCTCCCTCCGTCTCCGGGGGCGCGGGTGCCTGCCGAGATTTCTCTCCGGCATGTATCCATGTCATGCCGCTCAGCCGCTCAGGCAGCAGCACACGGCAGAGATACTAGCCCCGTCCAAATTCCAAAAGCATACCAAATTAGGACCTGTTTGGCAGGGCTCCTCTTCGGCTCCGACTCCTGCTCCTCCAGAGGAGTCCTGCCAAACGTTTTCTTGGAAGAGCTGTTTTTCAATAAAAAACAGAGGAGTCGGAGCCGTTTTGAAGGAGCCACAAACGGCTCCGGCTCCTCCGGAGGAGCCCCTCAGGAGGAGCCGTGCCAAACAGGTCCTTATGTGAATCAAGAAGGAAGATTAAAAACGGTTGCGATAAGATGAATGCATCGAACAGCAAATTCATCCAACAGGTGCTGCTTAAAAAAAGGACAGACATGATCCAGCAAATCTCTGAGAAAATCTAGGGTTGCATCGACAAACGATATGCAACGAATAGTTTCGAATTCAATTTAACTATTTTGTGATTGACTCTGCTCACAGGTCCGCATCCACTGAATCACAAAGTCAAGCTAACTGCCATGATTAGTCTGACTTGAAAGAGATCTCAAACCTGAGATTTCACTCCTCCCAATATCAGCGTTCGTTACAATACCATGACTGGGGCAGCAAGAGTAGTCATCTCAATAGATAACATGCATTACCACTCATTTTTATATGGAAGTAAAACAGAATAAACAAATAACAATCATGCTGTGATCATAGGTCAACCATGTTGATGAGTTACCAAGGATGCCACATAGGTTATCTTAGCTAAATCATATGGGAATAGTGCAATGTATGTGGACATGATTCTACATAAACCTCATAACAAAGCAAGGTTTCCTTCATTCTCAAACAACATCATGTTAGCAATCTCAAAAGGGATATTCCCAACATTCCTATCTAGGCCACTATAAATACCTGGCCTGCTGTAGATGTAGCGTACCAACTTGAGAAGAGCAGACAGCACATCTGATTAGTCTGCAACACACCCAGTGTTTCAGGAAATGGAGATTCCAGAAATAAAGATGGATCAGCTGCATGGCAAGAAGAGGTCAGAGACACTTTCACTCCTCCATAATGCCTGTGCGCAATGGGGTTTCTTTTGGGTAAGTAACAAAATATGAATCATTGTCTAGATGAGGAGAATTTCATTCTATTTTCTAACATATTGCATGCTAAACTGCATGGCAGCTTGAGAATCATGGAGTCAATGAGGACCTCATGAATAAAATGAAGGATCTGGTGAACAAACACTATGAACAGGACAAGGAGAAGAACTTCTACAGTTCAGAGAAAGCAAAAATCCTAGATTATGAGAAAGCTTCATCAAATGTTGACTGGGAGTGCAGTTTCATGTACCGTCATCAGCCAAAATCAAACAGTCATGATATTCCTGAGCTGCTTCGGTGAGTGCGAAGTTTAAATAGAACAAAAACATTTTACCAAGTCTAACAGTCATCTGTTGTGAACTATAAATCACAAAATTGTAAATCAAACTAACATGATCCAATGAACTGTGCAGTGCAACAGTGTTTGAATATGCAGAAGAAGTAATCAAATTGGCTCAACAGCTTGCAGCAGTTATGAGTGAAAATCTTGGGCTGGGCAAGGATTATATCGAGAAGGCATTTTCTAAACCTTCTGTAGGCATCAAGGTGGCAAAGTATCCCAGGTGCAGTCATCCAGAGCTTGTGATGGGCCTCAGGGAACACACTGATGCTGGGGGGATCATACTTCTATTTCAAGATGAGTTAGTCCCAGGTTTGGAGTTTCTAAAAGATGGTAAGTGGATCATAATACCTCCAACAGAAGGCAATAGAATTTTTGTAAACCTTGGAGATCAGATTGAAGTGATGACCAATGGAATCTACAAGAGCATATGCCATCGGGTCCTTCCAAATAAGAATGGGAGCCGCCTGTCTATTGCAACATTCTATAACCCTGGTGCCGATGCCATAATCTACCCAGCTCCAAAGCTTACATATCCTAGCCAATATCGTTTCCAAGACTACCTTAATTTCTATTCTACTACCAAGTTTAGTGATAAGGTATCAAGGTTCCAGACTACAAAGGCAATATTGAAGTGAATCACATCAGAAGCCCAGAGAAAACAAGTATCTTGTTCAGCAATACTGCATCAGCGTGTAGATGCGTTTGTATGTATTGCTCCTAATGAACAGCAACGTGTTAATTTATGTATTTTACTTTCAGTGTTTATCTGTTTGAAGAATAAACAGCTTACACTACTTGTACTTAATGTAATATATTACAGGCATGCGGGTTTCTTCAGACAGTAAAATGTCATGTTAGTTATGAAGATGCCAATAAAGGGCATACCCAGTGCAGAGAGCTCCCGCTCTGTGCAGGGTCTGGGGAAGGGTGTTAGTGGCAAGCCTTACCCTCGCCTGTGCAATGCGAGGAGACCGCGACTTGAACCCGGGACCTTCCGGTCACAGGCGGTAAGACTCTACCGCTTGCACCAGGCCCGCCCTTTAGTTATGAAGATGCCAATCTATTATTTAATTAAGAATCTTATAAACACTAAGAATTAACATATACAATAATAAGTTAGTTGCTTTGTATATGAACCAATCTTCAGTTTGTATGGTTTAAAAACTAAGAAGCTGTATGTTTTGAAGTTAGCAGATGTTAAAGCACCACGCATGCATAGTAGTACTTCTATAAAATTAAACAGACCTTCCAAGAGAATTAAACATTCAGTTAATCTAAGTAGAAATGTAGACTCACAAGTTGTTCGAGCTTTAAATGCCTTAGCAGTATAAATTCAACTTGCAGGGCGCAGTTTTGCCAATACAGCTTTAGTCAGGAAAGTGTCGGTTCTCTCAGCAGCTCTCTCGAGTAAAACCCTCTGATGCTTACATTCACGCCAACACTTTGACACGAAGCACTTCAGAAAGTTGCCAAATTTCAATGACCTCGGGAACTTTGATGCCTGGTCATCAATCACATAAATTAGCTCACCAACGGTGCTCGGTGTCAAGCAAATATCTTGACTGAGAATGTTGTAAAATAGTGTGAACAGAGATTCTGTCCAGACCAAATTAGTACCAATACTCTCCTGATGCTGAGGTATACAAACTGGTTTCCTCTCTTGTTCCTCTCCTGAAAGCAGCCTATGGCAGAAAGCAGTGACGTGCAGTGGATGCATGCATTCCTTGACAATACGTGTTAGCACATCACACTGGGGAACATTTAGCCCGCCTTTCTAAGAACCAGTGGAAACAGTACAGCTTCCAGTGCTGCAGCTGGATGGCGCTTGCAGAGACCCAATGCAGTGGAAAGGAGAACCGATGAAGCTGGTCTTTGAAGCTCGAGTAACTGTGGTAGGAAAACAGAACACAGAACAAGTGCTGGTCCTTTTCCATCCACTCCATCTCCCTCAAGCACTAAGTTGGAAAGCAAGACCCTCAGAGTGTCATCATCGGCTTCCCACGGCCGTACTAAGCTAAGCACTTCAGCAGCATTCCTGGACTGAACGCAAAGGTCCTGCAAATCCTTCGCCACCCGCTGAGCCGACAAGACAGATTCCACTGTCACAATCTCCTTCCGCATAGCCAGGACCCTCTGCACGATTGAGTTCTCAAGCGGAGGAGCCTGAGGAGGAAGAACACGTCCAGGCGCCTCCTGCATCTCCACGTCCTCGTCTTGCACCAACACCAAGGTCTCCAACCCAATCCCGTCCAAACCATCCCCACCACCACGACCAGCACGGGTCCCGCTCCCGCTCCCCATCAAGCTCCGGCAATCAACGGGGAGCCACGGCAGGACAGGATGCGCCCGCGCGGCCGCTTCTTTAAGCCACGTTGGCGGATCGTGAAACCCATCGATAAACTCATCGGAGTCAACACCAGGGACGCCCACCTCTTCAGGCAATCCGTCGATCAGGTGGCGGGCGCCGCGGCGGACCCATAGTCCATATCGGCCAGGCTGGGCGGAGAGGACGCGGGCGGCGAGGGTGCGGAGGAGGTGCGGGTCGAGGAGGTCAGCGGAAGAGGCGAGGAAGGACAGCGCCTGGGACTGGAGGAAGGGCGGTAGGGTCTGGAAGAGGATGGCGGCCGTGGGGTCGGAGGCGGAGGCGGGGAGCGTGGGCGCTGGCAGGAGGAGGAGGCGCAGGAGCGCGGCGGCCGGGGGAGGCGCGCTGGGGCAGTCTCCAGAAGAGGGGAAGAGGAGAAGGCGGCGGCGTTGGCGGGCGGGGAGACGAGGAGGTGGCGGAACAGCGGCAGCCACTGCTCCATTGGGGGATCGCGGGAAGGTTCCCGCGTTTTTGTTCTGAATTCTGACGATGAGGTTGAAAGGGGAGTGAAAAACTGAGCTTCCTCTCCACACCAAAACAGCATCAACTCCTGGAAACGGGAATGGACCTATAATCTATGAGCCGGTCTCGACAGAAGTTTCATAAAGAGCTTTATAAATACTCCCTCCATTTTCTAAATTATAAGATATTTTAAATTTCTTAAGTATAATCTTTATTAAAATATCTTATAATTTGAAATAGGAGAGTGTAACTTACTCTCTTCATTTCAAATTATAAGTTGTTTTAGCTTTTTTTAATATATAGCTTTTGCTATGCACGTAGATATACAGTATGTCTAGATACATAGTAAAAATATATATATTTAGAAAAAACCAAAACGATTTACAATTTAAATTGTATGGAATAGTAAATATGCCGATATGTTACAATATTAATGAAGGAAAAAATAATCAAAGTTTAGTAGAAGTAAAATAAGTATTATGGGAGATGAAATTAGTCTATTATTCGTAACACTTAAAAACTTGAAAACTAATATATAAAACCTCTAATAAAATTGACCTTAGCAACCCGCCATCAAAGTAGTCAATAGTGCCACCATGACATACCGGAATAAATGGGGGTTATGTTGCTCTCACTTGCGCCAAGCAATGGCGAGGTATAGAGCAGGGATCACATTTGTAGTATTATGTTAAGGAAATATTTATATACCTAAAAATTACTTAATTATTTAAGGCCTAATCCACCAAAATAACCTAAATAGGTAGGATTTAGCACTTTTACTTCTTCGTCCTAAAATACAAGGTACTACTCCCCAAAAGTCCCAATCACAAACTTCATCCGTTTCTAAATTTAAGTCGTTTTGGCTTTTTCGGATACACAACTTTTGCTATGCACCTAAATATACATTGGTGTCTACCACCAGACTCAAAATATGATAAGAGCAAGGTCAACCATAGAGCTAGGTGCTTGGCTATAACTCAAGTTATAAAAGCTAAACTATACAATAGTTATCTTCAGTTTGTCTATAATTTTTTTATTATGATCATGTGGCATCATTTCTTCTATTCTCTTTTCTATTCCTCCTCACATATTTTTTTGACCGAATTCCTCCTCACATATAATTATATCTGGGTTCTGGGCCCACTACTACATAGCCTCTCATGTCCAATTTGTTGCTTGCACGAGAACAAAGCTCTCTTCTCTCCCTTTCTTCTCTCTTTTACATCAAATAAAAACATGCTGATTCTCTTAATTATAAAGATTTTTGCAACAATTGGCTTATAGCCAAGCTAATCTCTTTTACATCAGCAAAAATCTCCCCTTTTATAAGTCAATTGTTGTACTTGCTCTAAGCACAAAATCTCTATAATTAAGAAGGGGTTACATGCGTCATTTGCAGTACCCCTTAATTTGTCCTAGAATTCTTGATATAACTTATATTTTAGGACCAAGAGAGTAGTAAAAATTACTTATAGTTTGGGCTTAATCCACCTAATAAATAGAGAGGATTTAACATGATCATTTATCGCGCAGCTCACCTTGGCAAGATGTTAATTGTGTCACTACTCTCTTTGTTCTTTTTTAGACGTTGTATTAGTTTTGTTCTAAATCAAACATTTCGAACTTTAACTTTTAATTTTAAGTCACTGTTTCCTCCCAGCACTCTTTGAGGGCATTAAGCCCACGCGCCACGTTTGCGCCCCTTCCATATATATACTCTGTTCTTCTCACTTTTCTCCTGCTATGGGTACCCTAAAATTAAAGGACGGTACTCACTCTAGTCTTGTTCTATGTCAAGTTCCTTTAGGCTTTTTAACAATTGTATAGCAAATACCAGATAAATGTGATATCAAGAAATATTCTATGATGGATTTCATAAATCTAATTTGATATTTTAGATGTTTATGAATTTCTTTTATAAACACGGGTGCAAATAAAGTTCAATGGAATTTGACATTTGGACATAGAAATAATATACTTCATATTTTGGAAAGGAGGAATTCCTGACCTGACGCAGACATCAACTACTGTCCTGTAGATATCAGCCACAAAAAAGAAGGCGCACGAACAACGAACAAAAAGCACGGCAATCACGAAACCTTTTTTTCTCGCGTGCAGTGCCAACCGCCAGAATTATTGACGTGGACGGGCCATCGGCACCGCATGCAAAATCGGTTGCCTGACGAGACGTTTGGTCGATCCACCGGCCACCACCACGTATCATCTAATTCCAAGGCCGTTATGCAAATGCAATGCAAGTACATGGATCATGGATGCAATGCAAGCTGCAACTGCGAGCCGACATGTGTAATACATGCCATGCATGGTGGTTGGGTGAAGGATAGGAATTGGTCACCAACTCCTCAATCTATCCAGACCCAGCCAAATACTACTCCGTACTAAACAACTTGCGTGTGCTAACTGCTTCCCTGTCAGGACCAGTCCATGCGCCCTGTAACGCAAGAGAGCCCGGAGCGAGCACCTGGCAGTTGCCAGCAGTGGTTACTGATGTTTTATCCCTAGGTTTCGCTTCAACTAGTATTTCATAATTGTTTGCACGTTCGCTTAAACTTATTAGTTATGGTATAGTATTTTTCTCTCACAACAAATTAACAAACAATGCTTTTCAGACTGGCTTTTCAGCGAAACGAACAGAGCCCGGAAGTTCAAGAAAACAAGGTACCTAGATGTGGGAAAAGAATAATTATTTCTCTTGTGACATTCACACAATAAGGTATCATACATAATGGTAAGAATAAATAACCTCATTTACAACTCAATGTTGCAAATTTCTACTGAGAAAATGGAAGTCTATGAGATTCATGCAGACTGAAGAGTGCAGACAAAACCATTCTACTAGACTACTACTATTCAAGAGCTGACTTGTATACCGGCCGGCCGTGAGCTGCAGTTCCTGCAGCCGTGCCGACGACGACGCCCAACTCCAAGAACAGATCTCCAATAAATACCACTCTTTTAAATCTGTATACGTACGTATAGTGAGCACGAATTGTGTCCGTATGTACGCCGTATCTATAGATACCGTATGAGCAAGAAAGAATTGTTGCCATGTGTGTGTGCCCTCCCTTCTCTTCCCAGCAAGCAAATTATTCACAACTTGGTCTCCATTTCCGATCATGTCGTCCTGGTGACCAGCTTGACGCCGGACAGGTCGCCGCCGAACTCCTCGAGCACCACCAGCAGGTTGCCGCTGGGGTTGAGCCAGGAGCGCGGGACGTGGTAGTACCTCTGGGAGATGTCGCCGCAGTTGGTCTGGCACTTGGTCTCGCTGTACGTCCCCGTGTAGCTGCAGCCCCCGCAGCTGCCGGAGGCCTTGTACGACCAGTACCGGCCGATGTGGCGGCCGTTCACCCACACCTGGCCCTTCCCCATGCTGCCCATGTCCAGGGCCACCGGCGCGTTGCCGGACGGCGCGTTGAAGTAGGCCTGAAGACGATCACAGTCACACACGCGCGTGGTTTCAGAAATCGGAGCCTTGTTACGTGTGGTGGGTGGCAATGTAGAGATCTGTAGGACACTGACCTTGTGCCATGTCAAGGGTTGCTTCCCGGCGGCGCTGCCCCACTCGACGGACGAGCTCCCGGCGACGGAGTGCACGCCCAGCGACTCGCCGTGCAGGCCGATCTGCGTGCGCCGCGAGATCAGTCAGTCAGTGTGTGTCTAGGTTCAGACTTCAGAGTAACAGAGCAAATGAGCAGCAGGTACCTGGTAGGTCCATTTCTGGTTGCTGAGGTCCCTCTTCCCCTCGTTGAGGCCGGACAGCGTCACCGGACCGAGCACGCCGACGTTCCACGCCTCGTAGTGGGTGCCCTGGTTCTGCAGGGTCACCAACCACAGGAGGTTGTAATGTGAGCTCTGAAATTCTACAAGAGTGCAATGACGAAATAAAGACTCTGAATGTCCGGTGAGCTTACAGGGAGGCCGACTGCTGCGCTGAGGATGGAGATCTTGTTGCTCCCCTGCCACATCTTCACGTACCCGCTGTATGTCAGCTTCGGGCTGTCGTAGCCGCCATACGCGGCGCCTGCCATTGAAGAACACCAAGAAATGTTTCATCAGTAAATAAACTGGGCGATGCAACATTGGCTGGGTAGAAAGATCGACGAGATTCAGACAGACGATACCGTAGGACTGGCCGTTGACGAACACCTGCAGGGCGTGGCCGGCGGAGTAGATGGTCAGCTGCGGCCACTGTCCGGACTTCAAGAACTGCTCGTTCGAGTTGATGTTCACGCTGCATTGAAACATTCAGAGGTCAGCACGCAGAGATCGACCATATAACTGCTGTGTTCCTCAGAGACAGAGGGAAGTGGAGGAGGAAAGGCTCAGTTCAGGGATGCCATCACTCACTAGGTGGTGTACCACAGGTAGTCTGACTTGTCCCACGTCATGCTGAGCTGCTCCACCAGGCCGTCCTTGGTGAAGGCGCGGTCGTCCAGCGAGTTGGTGGCCTCGCTGTACGACTGCCACGAGAAGCCGCCCACGGGGCTCATCCTCGCCGGCGCCGACGACTCGCTCACCGTCGCCGTGTTGAACACGGCGGTCTTGCAGTCCGGCAGCACGCTGATGGACCAGGCCGGGAGGTCGTAGCGCCGCCCGTTGAACACCACCCGCGCCGCCGCGCTGGTGTGGTAGTTGGACAGGAACGCCGCGCAGGCGCCGCTGCTCGACTTGAACACGTACGCCTGAAAATTAAAGTGAAAACACAGCTCCACTCCATGAGCGGCTCCTCTGAGCTCGATCCGTACATTTTTTACAGAATTTGGCCGACCTTCTCGTAGTTCCCGATGGACTGGATCGTGGGGTCGCCGGAGACCAGCGCCGGCTCGGCTTGCTTGATGGCCTTGTGCAGGTCCCTCAGGTGACCCCATTTCGGTTGCCTCAGCAGACCTGAACATGCCATGGTTTTCAGAGTCTCAGTTACAGACGGACCATGAGACATTCAGAACAATCTACTGCAACAATTCCAGTACATTTTCTTCCTCTTATTAACTGTCACATACTGAAACTGAAACTGCCATGGCGGCCTACCGTATTCGTCGATCGGCGCATCATAATCGTAGCTGGTGGCGATGAACGGCCCGCCGGAGGTGCGGTCGAAGTTGGTGCCTCCATGGTACTGAAGAAACAAAGCACACGCTAATTAAACATCATTATCCTTTTAGAAATCAGGCATACTACTCATGTGACTTGACTGACCCATGTGGCAGCTCAGCTGGCGCCAGCCAGCCCAGTGACTCACACTCACCATGTAGTAATTGACGAAGGAGCCGCCCTTCTGGATGAAGCGCGCCACGGCGAAGGCCATGTCCTCCACCGGCCGGTGCGGCACCGCGCCACCGAACGCCGTGAACCTGAACGCATTTTGGTTTCATTCATTCACGGCGATCTTAGCTGGATGTTAGTAGAAATAAGTTGAGTGTAACAATTACCAGCCGGTCCAAGCCTCGGTCCACATGGTAGGCTTGCTGTTGGAGTTGGGGCTGAAGTAGTCGCAGTAGAAGCCGTTGCAGGTGTTGATCTGAAGCCATGATCAGCATTTCGCAAGGAGAGGATGGATTAAGGTAGTGTAATTCAAAGATAGTAAGGTAATTAAGGAATCTACATATACCAAATAGTAAAATTAACTTAAAGATAACTGAAGTAGCAGTATGAAATGGGACAGGCATCAGCATAATTGTTTGTCCACAGCAAGCAAAGCAAATGTGCCAGGTGGAAAGGAGGGACCGCGCGCGGCAGCGATTGATGTCCTAACGACGACGAGAGGGAGAGAAAGCGAGGTGGTTGATTAGCGCGTCTTAACCACGAACGCGACGGAGCGACGGATTAATTGGCCGTTATATCAACCGAATTAACCACCGCGGGAGCAAGAACGGCAGTGGAGCGGTTGAACAAACTGGAGTAGTGAAGTTTTTTTAATTTACCACGGGGTCCGGTGCGTCGTCCTGCTTGCACATGACCCAGGGCACGCCGGCGCCGGTGGCGACGGCCATCTTGGCCGCCCAGCTGGCGTAGGGCTTGGCGCCGCCGCCCATGACGGACTCCATGGGCCCGTACTCGTTCTCCACCTGCGCGAGGATGATGGGCCCGCCCTGCCACTCGAAGAGCCCCTCCGACTTCATCATCGACACGATCTTCTCCACGAACGTCTGCATCGCCGCCTTGAAGGGCGCGTTGTCGGTGCGGAAGCTGACGCCGGGGACGTACTTGAGCCACACGGGGAAGCCGCCGAAGTTCCACTCGGCGCAGACGTAGGGCCCGATGCGGAGGTGCACGTAGAGCCCCGCCTGCTTGGCGAGCTTGACGAAGCGGACGAGGTCGTAGCGGTCGCCGAAGTAGTACTGCCCCTGTTGGGGCTCGTGCCCGTTCCAGAAGACGTAGGTCTGGATGACGTCGAGCCCGCCGTCCCTGGCCTTCTGGAGCAGGTCCGGCCACATCTCGGGGGTGCTGCGCGGGTAGTGGATGGACCCCGAGATGAGGATGCGGCGCTGCCCGTTGATCACCACCGCCCTGTGGTCGTACGACACCGCCGCATTGGCTGGGGACGGGACGGTGATGATGGCCGCCGCCGCCAGCAGGGCCAGGAGGAGCACGCCGCCGGACATGGTACCGTGGCGGCGCTGGAACGGCCTTTGGCGGCCTGACTAGCTCTCCCTTCCTGTCTTTTTCTCAGCTTCTCGGAGAGTGACCGCAATGGCAGTGGACGGGAGGAGGGAGGAGGAGGAAGGGAGTGGGAGAGAGGATGGAAAGGGGTGGTGCTGGTGAGCTTATATCTGAGCTCTTCTGGCTGATGAGTGGGAATGCGTTCCTGGTTTCCGATTCTTTTACCTGCTGCGCCGCGCTTTTGATCTTTTGCCTGCCCTCGCTTTTGGATTGGATTAGCTAGCGCTTCCTGTTTTACCGTTGGACGAGTGCGCAAGCAAGAACCAAGAGTCAAGAGATGGGAGAAGAGTGGTGGAGTGGTGAAGCGAGAAGCGGAAAGCCGAAGCAGAGCAGGTAG